TTTCTCCGGAGTAACGAATCGCACGCTACGTTTCATTTCTTCCAACTACCCGATCGCACGCTACGCGCACTGTCCGTCATACTATGTGGTGACGCGAGGTCGCTGGCCTGTCCGTTGTTCCTCCTCTTATGTCCTCTCTTCCTTCGCTCTTGTCACATACTCGGTGAATGTTTGGGCCATCTTGGGCAGTATATGGAGACTCTCGGGCCGTCTTCGGGCCCTCTTGAGTCGCCCTGGGAGCCTCTTGGGTCTGACCTCGGCGGCCTCTCGAGCCATCTCTGCATGTTGGATGTTTGGAACCGCGAAAACGCTAACCTCGCTCAAAAACCGATTGGACGTTTGCATCTGTGCCTTTTGTGGCCACCTCCGGGGCACTCTTGGAGCCCTCTTGGGACTTTTTGGAGCCTCTTGGGCCGTCTTGAGGCCATCTTGGGCCGTATTGGAGCGCTCTTGGGCCGTCACGGGGACTCCTGGACCCTCTTGAGCCATCTTGGCAGCAATCTTGGACCGTCTTGGGCCCTCTTGGAGACCACATTGAGGTCATTGTGGGCCATCTTGGGGCCCTCTTGAACCGTCTTGTTGGGCTCTGTTGGAACGTCTTGAGGCCGTCCAAGAGCGATCCCAAGACGATGCTGAATATGTCGCATTTGCTTGAGGATGTCCGTAGCGAAATCGCCGTGTTCGACCCCAAGGGAGCCGCTTCTTGGGGGCCGAATGGGCCGTATTGAAGCCTTCTTGGGCCGTATCCGAAAGCTCTTGGGCCGTCTCTGGGCCTCTGTGACAATCTGGAGGCCACCTTGGGCCATCTTGGTGGCGCCTTCGCGCCCTCTTGGCCCCCTCTTGGGGCCGTCTTGGGGCAATCTTGGGCCGTGTTGGGAGCCTCTCGGACCGTCTCCAGGACATCTTTGGCCGTCTTGCAGCCCTCTTGGAAGCCTCTTGGGTCGTCTTGGAGCGATCTCAACGGCCTCTTGAACTCTCTTGGTCAGTCGGACGCTCGAAAATGCGAGAACGCTAAGATGGCTCGAGCACCACGGACAACTGAGGTGTTTTGTCTCTCGGGCCAATCTTGAGGGTCTTCTTGGAAATACCGAAACAGCGAACGACATGCGGAGGGCAGCGGCACGGACGGGATGAGGGAGGGAGGGGAGGAGGAGACGAGGAGGAACGCGGGGGTAGTCTCTTCAGAACGAGGACCCAGCACCACGGGATGGTCGGGAACAAGCGAATCATCAATGATGTTTGCCTCTTTGGGCCCTCTGGGGAAGCCTCTCGAAGACCTCTTGGGGTGTCTCGGGGGTATTGGGGTCTCTTGGAGCGCTCTTGGGCCGTCTTGGAGCCGTCTCGGACCTTTCTTGGGCCGTCTTGGGGGTATTTTGGGCCGTCCTGGACGCCTTTTGGACAGTCTTTGGGTCCACTTGGGGAATAGCGGGCGATTGGAGTTCTGTCCCCGCTCCTCCCCCGTCGCCTGGACTCCTCCCTAAGAGGGGATTCGGCCCAATTCAAATGTCATCGCTCGTACCTTGCTCTTTCCGTCATCTGCTCGGCACGGGGACGGAAAGCGCGAGTACTTCGTGAGGGCGCCCGATCGCTTGCTTAGGGCCTTGAAGCCCTCTTGGTGTTAAGAGTTTGGTGCGTCATGCAAGAATCTGACACACAACCTCGTGACAATCAATGAGTACGGCCTCTCAGGGCCTTCGTGGGGCTCCTTCTGAGGCTCGTTTGGGCCTTCTTGCTGCCCTCTTGGGCTGTCCTGGGGCCCTTTTGGGCCGCATTGGGAGGCTCAGGTTATCGTCGGGCCATCTTGGGGCGCTCTTGGGCCCTCCTGGTGGCCTCCCGTAGCCCTCTTGGGGCTTTCTTGGGAACTTATTGGGGCTATCAGGGGCCATCTTGAGCCGGTTTGTGGCTCTGGCGGGCTGTCTGAGAGCCCACTTTGGCCGTCTTGGGGCCCTCTTGTGGACCTCTTGGGCCGTCTTAGGGCGGTCTTGGGGGCTTCATGGGCCGTCTTAGACGGTATGAAAGCGAAGAAAAAAATAAACACAATGCACGGTTTCTCGAAAAAGAGCGGGACAATGTTTGCCTCTTGGGGGTCCTCTTGAGGGCCTCTTGGAGCGTCTGGAGGGCCGCTTTGGCAGTTTTGAAACCATCTTGGGCCGTCTTTGAGCGCTCTTGGGTCGTCTTGGGGTCCCCCTTGGCCTCCCTGAGCTTGGAGCTGTCTTCAGCCATCTGGGGAGTCTCTTGGGCCGTCTTGGGCGCTCTTGAGGCTGACTTGGCCCGTCTGGGGGCGAACATGGCCAGACATTGGAAAAATTAGATCTGGGGCGGGTCCTGGCAACCCCCTCACACTCCGTCTTATTATCCCCCCCAACTAACGGATTGCGACACTACGCGCTTTCTGTCATCTGGGGTGGCGAGGCCACTTCCGTCACACTCCTCCTTGTTAGTTATCCTGGTCAACGGATCGCGAGGCTACGTGCGCTTTCCGTCATGTGGGCGTCCGGCTGCCAACCCTCTCGAACTCCCCAACATGTTCCTCCCGACTGACGGATCGCACGCGAAGCGCGCTTTCCGTTATCCGCCGCCCTATGTTGGCTTGTCACAGGGGTACGGCGTGCTGGATGTTAGGAAATTTCTGTTCGTACCAATGCCCAACCCGCTGGCCACCCAGAAAGCTTCGCCAGACCAGGGCGGCAAGGATTTTCCCGCTCCACAAGGACCCGTAAACTTCCCAGTTCGTCGGTCTTCCCGTTCCAGACGGCCCCAAGATGGCCTCCAAGACAGCCAAGCTGGTCTCACAGACGGCTACGATGGCCCCAAGAGAGCTCAATATGGCAGGAAGATGTCTCCAAGACGGGCCAAGATGCCCCCTATATTGTCCAAGGTGGCCTCAAGATCGCCCAAGACGACTCCAAGACGGCCCAAGAGGACTCCAAGAGGATTCCCAGGAAGCCCCCAAGAGGCCCAAAGCATATATCTTCCATCGGTGTTTGAAGAATTCTGGCGTTTGCTTATTTTCGGCTTTCCGACGGCCCCACACGGCCCCAGAGGCTACCACGATGGCCCCAAGAGCGCCCAAGAGGCCTCCGAGATGGCCACCTGACGGCCCAAAAGGCCCCCAAGGCGGCCCAAGGCAGCCCAGACGACTTCTAAGATGTCCAAGATGGCCTCCAAGACGGCCCTGAAGCGCCCCCAAAGAGCCCCAAGTCGGCCTAGAGAGGCCCCCAAGATTGCTGCCGACGGCGTCAGACGGGCCAGGCACGCCCTCAGACAGCCAAAGAGCCTTCTAAGGAGCCTCCAAAGGCCTCCACGAGGCCTGCGGAAGCCTCTACTGGGCCTCCAAGAGGCCCCCAGGAAGTTCCCAGGAGGCCCCAAGAGTGCCCTAAGAGGCCTCTCCTCCTCATGGCTTCGCCGAGCTCTGGCCGCAGCGTTCGGCCACAGAAGCGCTCCCGAAAGGTAGTGCGCGGCGGTGATTCGCCGTGGGCATCTTCGATCTACCTCTGCAATGGCTTTCCCGAAGTTCGTGGCCTGAAAGCCTGTCCTCGCGTACGAATCGAGCAGCGCTTTGAAGTCCACGCCGGTGTTGAAATCATAGCCCTGCACTGTGTCCGAGGTCAGCTTGTCGGCACTCTTGACCATGACGGCATCGGTCGCGATGGCGGGCACGCTGCCCGTCCCCTGGGGGCTGGCCATGCTGCCCTGCAGGGGTGAGCCACGCCGGCTGCCCGCAGAGCCAGCGCTGGCTCTCGGGCCAATGTGGCTACGGACTCCCTGGGGCAGGAGCGATGCCAGCGCGGAAGCCCGGAACCGGCTCTTCCTCCCGGGCCGTGCTTGTGGACGGTCCCGCGACGTCCGTGGCGGCCCCACTGAGCCCGCAAACGGGCAAAAGCCTCCTGGACCCGTCCCCCCTCGGGGAGGCCGGCTCCAAGGGCGGAAACGTCGACCTGGAACCGGCGATACGTCGCCGACAGACCAGCGCCAGGCCACCGATGGCGAGTCCGCGCCCTTCCTGGGTGGGGCGGGCCAGCAGGCCCCCTGCCGGCGGCGAGCGGGCCACTGCGGGACAGTGCGTTCCCCCTGGGCCGGGTGCCCGCGCTGACGCTGCCCTTGAATCCCATGCATACTGCACGGCTTTGGGCCGGGAGCGGCTGCCGTTGGGCAGGCGGCCTTCTGCCTCGACTGGACAACGCCCGCGGCGGCACCGACTGTCAAAATGGACAAGCACTGCTGTCGGTCTTCGCACCGCTTGTTCCTGTCCCGGTGTCGTTCGTGCCGATGCCTGGCGGAGGTGGCCGCCCCCCCCACGGCGAATCCTCGCCCCAACAGCGGTGCAGCACGGGAGACCGAGCACGCCGCGCTGGGCGCCCTCTCTCTCTCTCTCTCTTGGAGCCTGCGCTCCGCTGGCCGCCGCGCCGACCGCCAAAGCCCGCCACGCCCTGACGCGCGAAACATTTCGAATGATGGCCGACAGGACGGGGAGAGAGACACTATTTTGACTTGCGCAAATCAACCTGAGCCAAAGAGGGTGCCTATACGGAACACGCACGTACACACGTGTGAAACAATGCACAATAATTCAAGCTCATACATACGCACACGAAGGGGTATAGGGCAGATTTCTTCAATCCGCCCCATTTTAGTGATCTTGACACTCGTCACTAAAATATGAAACCCGGGGCGCCCTCGACTGAAGCTCGGGAGAAAATTGAAAGACTCAGTGATACGCGGCACAGAGAACTTAAAAGGAAGAGCGTATCTGCTGGAAGGCGGCGCGTACTGGGCCCCCGGGCCCTGGCATCCCGACAGGACTTGCAACCGGACAGCCTCGACCCGCCCCCCGACCCGCACGGAGGACGACCCTCGGAGAAAAGAGGGGGAGACGGGGAATGAGGCGAGGCAAGAGCAACGTACTTCGAAGTCTTTCCGAGGCGGAAGTCCTCGGCCCGCAGCCCATAGCGCCGCTGCACATCGCGCGGCACTTCAAAAGCACTCACTCGGCAGGTCGATCACTTGGAGGGCGAAAGAGGGGGTCTGCAACAGGGGGTCTTCAATGGGGGCTGAATGGCCCATGTATGCTCAATGTATCGCTCATGTATGTGATCGGGTACGATTGGCATCCAATGCTGGCGGTCATTGATGGCCAGTCATTCGTGCCCGCGCGTTGCCCACGCGGGCGCACGCGCCGTCCATCCATTATCGTTCATGCGTGCGGGCGTTCTTGCATATTGCGTGTGGGTCGGCGAAGTGGAGTGCAAGTGTGTCTTGATTGTGCGGTTGATGATCGCGTATGTTCCCAGACGATGACTTCTCGACCCCCAAGACAGATTTGGAATGGGCCCCGCGATTCTCCCAAAATGTGAATTCGCATTATCCTTTTTCCCAAAGTGTGAATTCACATTCTCCTTTTTCCCAAAATGTGAATTCACATTCTGGCCCCTTCATACAGAATTCCACGCAAATTTCCAACATGTGAATTCACATGTTCCTTTTTCCCAAAATGTGAATTCACATTTTCCTTTTTCCCAAAATGTGAATTCACATTTTGCTTGTCCCCACAATGTGAATTCACATTTTGCCCTGGCCTTCAAGATCCCCAAAACTGAGGCGCAGTGTTCCGCATGTCAGATTGGCTGGGCAGATTTCGACACTCACCTGACCGCTTTCGTGTGTTCCAACCTTTTCTTTTTGCGCCCTTCGCGCACGTTGCCTTCGTCGCCTTTCCCGAGGCCCCCGCCCCTGTGCTTCCTTGCCCCTCGAGTCTCGCGCGCGGTCGCAGGCGGGGGGCTTCAATTAGTTCCCCCGCCGAACACAGGAATCGAGGATGCATCGCCCGTTCATGGCCGTAAAAAACATCATTGCCGGGACCCTGCGCCCGACCCCCACTTTCACCCTCCAAATCACGGCGCCGAGCTGCCCCTGCATCCCCATGGGCACCAGCGGCGGGATGTCCTGCTCCACCTCGTCCACCCCCATGATGCCGCACTTGCCGCCGATGCCGGTCGGGATGAGCAGCCCGGTCGTCACCTGGGTCATGCCACCGACCCCCTTCGCCTGTTGGTTCCTGCTCGGAACTCGTAGTACTTTCAGTCCCAGCTGTGCCAGTCTGTCCACGTGTCTCTGAAGTGAGGGCCGTCCGATCAACGCCTGCCCCGCTGCTGTGTCCACGATCGTCTCTCCTGGTGTGGTAGCTCATCGCCTCGCAGCGGGTCCGATTTAGCGCATCGAGGGCCTTCTTCACCAGCTCGCGCGCGTTCTCTCGAGCTGACGTGGTCGCGGAGTCCACCGTGGCACTGAAGTTCATGGGCGCCGCGTTGACCAACGCGAATCCCGCCATCTTGTCCGAGCTCTTGTCCCGCTCGGGACACTCTCGGCTCCAGTGGCCTTTCTTCTTGCACGTGTGACGCTGGGTAACCTTCATCAACCTCTCCACCGATAGGCGCCTCTTGCGCGGCCTCAGTTCTCCTTTCTGACTACGATTGCCGCGCTCTCTGGCAGGCGCCGAAGGAGGAGAACTCGGGGCACCGCCAGGAGTTGGGTAGAACTTGCGATTGATATTGATCTTCCGCTTGTACTCACGATTCGCCTTCCACGTTTTCCTGCGCCCCGTCTGGATGTCAGCCAAAACCTCGGGGACATCGATCTCGTCGACGTCGCCCTCGTCCAGGGAAGCCAGTATGAGGTCTTCTTGTCCGGAATCCATCGAGGAGACATCGCTGTAGTCGAGAAGCTCATCCAACGACCTGCTGTCGTAGTCAGTGTGGTACGTCACGTTCGTCGTCTTTCCGGCCTTGGGCCCGAGGTGCTCTGTCTTCGACATGTCCATCTCTCGAGCTGCCTGGATCACCGCATCGTACGAGCTCGAGCCCTGGGAGATCACCTTGAGCATCTGCATGCCGGACTCCTCGAACTTGATACCTTTTTCCACAAATAGCTTCTTCCAGGAGTCGTCCAGGGCTAGACCGTGTGCTCTGAGTCTGTCGAAATTCTGATCCATTCTCGCTGTGTAGACCGAGAGCGTCTCGCCGTGCTTTCTGCAGTATCCGTGTAGACACTCTCTGGCGGCCAGACGCTTCTCGTCGTCTACTCGTACTCCACTGAGAATGTCCAGTCTCTCCACTATCATCATAGCTCTGTTCGGTGATGTCAAATCTTCATCTGTGATGTCCTCGAACTTCCTCTGGAGATCTCGATCCAACACTTTGAGAATTTTATCCTCCTGTTTCTTCGGGGGCACATATGTCTGCTGCAGCCATCTGGTGACACGCCTCCGCCATGCTCGGTAGCCTGCCCATCCGAGCCACTCGTCCGGGCCGGAGAAGTCTGGTTTTCCCATTTGTTCCTCGACCAGTCTTGCCCCTGCCACTCGGAGGTAATCCAGCTGCTCCAGTGCTCCTTGTGCCATCCGTCGTCCTTGCCATTCCAGCGGTCGTCCGCTGAGCTCCCTGACCGGCCGTGTGTCCATGGATCTGAGCTTGGCTTGTCGTGCCAGTCATCTCCGGCGTAGCGGTCGCGAGCGTGCCGGTCAGCACCCTCTTGATCTCGGCTCGCGCCCGCGCTAGACAGCAGCCGCTGGATCTCTACCAGTTGTTTCTGGAACATGCTGTCTAGCTCCTGCTTCTGTTCTGTCGTGAATACCGTCGGGATCTGAGTCCCTCCGTTGCCTGCTGCACTCTCGGCATCTTCATGAAACGCAGATCCCGTGCCTAGTTTGTCCCATCTCTCTTGGCCGCCCTCCGGTCCATTCGATTCCCCTGACATGGCCGTGGATGCTGAAACGCGTTTTGCTGAGAACGCTCACGCTCCGCTACCACTGACGCGCGACAGGACGGAGAGAGAGGCACTATTTTGACTTGCGCAAATCAACCTGAGCCAAAGAGGGTGCCTATACGGAACACGCACGTACACACGTGTCCCGCTCGAACGTCGTTCGGGCCGAGTCGGTTTCGGCGGGACGACGGGGGGCATTCGAAAGAGAGCGAGCGGGCAGAGCAGGACGGAGGGAGCGAGAAGAGGGGGAGCAGGGGAGGGATCCGCTGAGAGCCCGCCAACTTTCACGGAGACCCCCGAGGCGGGGGTCGGGGGTCCGGACGGAGATCAGGTCAGGCCAGCGCGGGGCTCTTCAAGGTGATGGTCCTGTTTTCCACCACCACCACCACCATAAGTTGGAGGGGAGGGGGGTCCTTGTCCTCCTCCCCCACCTCCTCCCCCACCTCCTCCTCCTCCTCCTCCTCCTCCTCCTCCTCCTCCTCCTCCTCCTCCTCCTCGTCCTCCTCCTCCTCGTCCCCCTCCTCGTCCTCCTCTCCTCCCCCTTCCCCCCATCCAACTTATGGTGGTGGTGGTGGAAGACAGGCCCATCACCCGAGGAGCTGCTCGAGCCTCACGGCGCCAGGCGGCGCGCCTCCCCGGCCGCGGAGCCGCTCCAAGGCCGACCGCCGAGCACCGCGAGACCCACAGGGGGGGGGGCAGGCGCCCGAGCTGTGCGAGCACGGGTGGCAGGTGCCGCGGGGCGGGGCAGGGCGAAGGGGAAGCTGCGGTGCGGGACCTCCGGGGCTCGTGTCCTGCAGCTGCTTGGGGAGGCCGCCCCCGGGGACTTCGTGTTATGTCGGGCCTGTCCCCCTACAGGGGGATTTTCGACGAAAAAAAAAAAATACACCAAAAATAATCCAAAAATAACCCAACAATAGTCTGGGGACTATTTTTCAAATCTTTTTTTACCTTTTTGGAGCATGTTTGGGGTATTTTTCATTTTTCGTCGAAAATCCCCCTGTAGGGGGACAAGCCCGACTTAAACTTGATGGGCCCTGGAAACGACAGACCGTTTTTTCACCAGCTCCGTTTTGCCGTTTTCCTGCCGGTGCCGACGCAATTTTTCTACCGGCTCCGTCGCCGTTCTTGTGCGGGCTCCCGCTCCGGCTCCAATCCTGGAGCCGTTTCTGTTGCCGTTTCCGGTCGCCTTTTTTGGCAGTTTCCATTTTCAAGGGCACTTTTTGCGGAAACGGTGAAAAACGGCCCTGCCGCTTCCGGGGCCCACTGAGCCCGGGGAGGGGGGCCCACCCCGGGCATCGACCCGACGACTCAGCCGTGGAGCTGCCGCCTCAGGGCCGCCGTGAGTCAGGTCGGCCCTCGGGCCTCCCAGGCATCACCTGAAGAGGCTCGGCCGACCCGAGTAGACTGAGCAGCCTCTGCACCCCGAGGCTGGAATCTGTATCGGCGCTTCGATCGGGCCAGCCCCGTGGGCTCATCCCCCCAGCACTTGGCAGCAGAGACGCGTACCGTCTCGTCGGGCACTGGGCCTGCGGGGGCGCGGGGCGCATAATCTCTTCGGTCCTCACGCTCCCTCGACACCTCCTCAGGTCAACTGGTGACCTCTGGACTCCTGAGGTCCTTGCCCGGGACGGCCTGCTCATCCAGTCGCCATCTGTAGACTTCTCCTAGATGGGGTCCGAGCGTGTGGGGTCGGAGGATCGCGCCGCATCGCCAATGCATCGCTGATGCATCGGCGATGCATCGGCGCCATCGGAATGGAAAAAGTCGGGCTCCACATCGAGCCGCATCGCCGATGCATCGGCGATGCGGCGCGATCCTCAGACCCCATCTGCTCTTGGGAAGGACCCCCCTTGCCACTTACTTCGCGCTTGCATGTCGGGCCTGCGGCGGCCGAATCTCCGTTCTCCCGCCGGCGCCCGCGGTGGCCTCGGCGTTGATCCACACGAGGCCGGGCCGGTACTGGAGAGCGTCCCGGGGGCGGTGCTCCCATTCGTGGAGGTCCAGCCGCCTCGAGCCGGGGCTCCCTCGTCGAAGGTCGTCGCCGTCGCCGTCGTCGCCGTCGTCGCCGTCGTCGCCGTCGCCACCGCCGCCGCCGCCGTCGTCGCCGGCGTCGTCGTCGCCGTTGTCGTCGTCGTCGTCGTCGTCTTCGTCGTCGTCGTCGTGGCCATCGTCGCTGTTGCCGTCGTCGTCGTCGTCGTCGTCGTCGTCGTCGTCGTCGTTGCCGGCGTTGTCGTTGCCGGCGTCGTCGAGGATCGAGAAGCGGGGTTTTCGGACAATTCTCGATCCTTCTGGGGCCTCCAAAGCATTTTTGGAGACCTCCCAAGTGGTAGGCAATGTCGGAACACTTCATGTTTGCCGAGGGTCGATTCACGACGAATTCGGGAAGGGTGGCAATGGTTGTGTTCCAGCGTGGGCTCCACATGAGAATGGACGGAGCGTGCGCTTATAAGATGGAGTATTCGTTGTATTCTGTAAGCTTACATCAGAGGTATCTCAGAAACATGTGGAATGTATCACATATCTGCGGGCAAAACCAAACACTTCCCTGCACATGTAACCGCTCTGCCAGTGAATCCGCCGAACTCCGGACGCTGGAGGTGGAGGGCGTGTGACATGATTGGATGTCCCCCTCCACCTTTCCCGACCCAGGGGTCCAAGATGTAGTTTGAGGGGGGGGGCGGTCACGATCTCATCGGCGCATCTCCCGTGCCCTCTGTGCCTTCAAGTCCACTTCCAGACGCCTCCAAGATGCCAAAGAAACGGTTCCAGAAAAGCTCCTGCACGGGCAAGGGGCCCGTAGACTGTTCAACGTGTCCACGGAGCCTCGCAATGATACCCTCGATACGCCCAAATCATGTGCAAACATGAAATTGTTCGAAATCATGGTTGCCTGTCGCTCCCGATGGGATCCTGAGGTCTCAGGACGGCTCCAAGATCGTCCAAGAGAGCCCAAGGAGGGGCCCAGAAGCGCTCCAAGACGGCCCCGAAGGCCCCAACGGCACCCCAAAAGCGTCCCAAGAGGACCCGCAAAGGTAACTTGTCTGGACTCTCTTCCTCCGCCTGCCCCCTCCCACGCACCAACCTCGTCCCCGTCCGCCTCCACAACCTTTTCCTCATCATCATGGTCCTCCACTTGCCCGATATTCCTCCTCCACGGTCTGCTTGCTGCTGTGTCACGTTGGGTTCGTTTGATTGCTCTCCTGGCGCCGACAGGGACCCCTCGTGGATCATATCCGCGGTTTGCGGTCGTTTTGGGGTTCTGTCGGGGCGGTCTGGGTCCGCCTCGGGGCTTTCGGCAGGGGTCGTTGGGGATGTTGAATGCTCCAGCTTGCTGTAGCCAATTGCTCGTCGACGCGTGCTACTGTTTACTGCCACATAAATGTGTCTTTAATCGCGTGAGTTTCAGCCAGCCTGGTGGGGCATTACGGCGCGGGCATTGCATAATGACTCGTTGGATAATGAATCCAGGGTCTGGAAGCCAGTTCAACGACAATTGAGGACTCACCATTGATATCACTGCCGCCCTCATCGGATAAGGAACCCTCCAGGGTCTAAAGCCCCACGGGCACATTCCTAAACGAACGCTCTCCCACCCACCCACCGTATCCTAGGGCTTCGCGTGAGTTTCTTCCAGTCAGGTCGGGCATGTTGAACAGTCGTGGGATAGTCACATTACATGGGACGTGGAGGCCCTGTTCTGCTGGATTGGGGTCTGGAAGGGGCCTTTGGAAGTTTTTGAGCAGAACCTTGCTGGCCTCTTGTCGGGAGCGACCAAGAGAGGGGTGTCCAAGAGGGGGGGTGCAAATCATGACCGGCAGCACGTGCGCGGCCCAGCGGGGGGGCCAGGGACGTAATGGAATAAGAGGAGGCGCCATGAAATCTCCGCCATGAAATCTAGGGAAATATCATGGCCCCCGCCATGATATCCACCCCCTCTAGTCATCACCCCCCTCTTTGCCGCCCCCGATCTTGAAGGCTTATTGCTCGAAGACCACCGTTGGGGCCTCTCGGATCATCTGAAGCCTTGTCGGGGCGTGCCGGGCGTGTTGCGACATTTTGGAGCTCTCTGCGGCCACCGGGCCCTCCTGATCCATCTCGGTATCTTCGGGGGCGTCTTGGCTGCTGTAAATCGCATGGCTGTGTTAAGGGATGGGGTCCCGCTCCGTTTCCCTTCGATCCCTCCGCCGCTTTCCCCCCGTTTGTCGGCTCTCCCCTCCTGTTCTTCGGCTCTTCCCCTTTGTTTCCCCGCCCGTTTCCCTCCGACCCCCCCCCCTGCTTCCCCCCCCCCCGTTTCTCCCCAAATGCACCCCCGCTTCCGTCCCGACCCCCTTCCCCCCCGACCCGCTTCCCGCTCCCCCGCCCCGACGCCCCCCTCTCCACCCGCGGAGCGCGCTCTCACGAAGCTCGCGGGGCGGCGCAGCGTGCTGTCGCCCAGAACCCCGCCCCGACCATTTCCGAATTCCGATGCGGATCCACCCGCGGCGCCGAAGTGCCCCCCCCGGCTTCCGGGACCAAGGATCCCTTCTGAGCCCGTTCGGTGGCGCCGAACCGGCTCACTTTGCTGGTTGCGTAGGAGGTGCGTCACGTTTCAAGATTTGTTTCTTGTGAGCCCGTTTGGCGTACAAAAACTGTGAATTGTAGTGAGCCCTTTCGGCGGAAACTGAGCCCGCCCGGCGGGGAAGTGAGCCCGTCCAG